TTTACCTACCCCCATCCCATCCTACCCACACTCCCAAACCCTAACATCATTTCCCTTTCTTCTCCTTTTTTATCCTTTCTCTTTTCATGATATTACCTCACCATCAACATAGTCGCCATTGCCACCATCGTCGGCACGACTCTCCAACCGTTGATGCAAAACTCTTCTTCTCTCGTTACTCTCTACCCTCTTCCTTACATGTGAACCACATCGCCACAGTAGACCACCACTTCACAGCGTTGTACGACGCAGACGCGTGTAAGATGTCACTGTGCGGCGCAGAGAGAAGTCGCACTTGTTGCCTTGCTCGTGGTCTGTACAATCGGATGATGCTTCGATGAAAAGTGGGGACACTCCAATTGCGTTGGCACAGGATGAGTTGATCGAGATAGTGGAGCTGTCGAGTTTGGAGGCGACTTACGATGAATCCGTGGAAGTGAATCGGGAGGCAGAGTTGGTGTTTGCCAAGGTGAATTTGTGGACGTGGATAGAGTTGTGTGTGGTGGTTGGGTACGGTGGTAGTGTGTAGTGGTGGTGTGCCATGATCTGTGGTGGTGGTTTTGTTGGTTTTTTTTAGTGCTTGTGGTTTTTCATGTTTTGGTGTTGGGGTAATTTTTGTTGGCAGCAGAATTGTCAGTGTCGGTGTTGTTGTTGTTGTTGGTGGTGCCGTAGTTTATGTTGGTGGCAGTTGTGGTGGTGGTGAGATGGCGAGATGGGAAGAAGAGAGTTTATGACAAATTATTTGGTTGATTTGTGATCAAGTATTGATGGTGGATCGAGATCGGAGGTGGGAGTGGAGTGTTTGGTGTATATGATCAACTATTTAGTAAATTTGTGACCAACTATTTGGTTATTTATGACCAATCATTTAATTGTGACAAATTATAAAATTTGTGACCAAATAATTTGAAAATCTGTGACCGACAAATAAACTGTGACCTATATTTTTTTTTATTTCTGACTGTAAAACAATCTGTAACTAATTAATTTGATAATATGTGACTAATAAATAAGTTGTCAGCTATAAGTACGTAATTGTGACCTTAATATATTTAATTAATAAAATATATTTAATTATTTATTTATCACCCGAGTTTTTTAATTTTGAAACATAAAACATGAAAATTGAATTGATCATAATTAATACCCAAGTTACGAAGTTTTCCCTTTTAAAAATATATAATTCATATATATATTGAGAAAAAATCCGAAAAGTTTTATATCAACTTCTCCATCCATCTCTCTCTAGCCTTAATTCAAAGGATCTGCGTTTGCATGTATTGCCTATTTCTTACAACATTTCGAGATCTTGAAGGTAAATTTATTTTATTTTTTGTTTTACTAAGTTTTTCTGATTGAAAATCTTATATATGTTTTTCAGGGGCGGACTAAATTTTCAGCAGCTATTCTCTTAATTTTTAGGTGGGTAACGGTAATTACAACCTGGACTTACCATAGAGAGAGTAAGAGGTTGTTCTTGGAGTCAGATCTAGGCGAGGACAAGATGGAGTGTGCCTCTTCAAGCCTTCAAAGCTTGCGAGAAAATAGGGTTGGTCGGTTTGAAAGGGTTTGAAGAAACCGATCCGACCCATATTCATTTTAAAATTGTTTCACCCGACCCGACCCGACCCAACCCAACACAAGTCGGGTCGGTTCGGTTTAGCGAGCTGCGATTTTTTGGCCCAGTCCTACAGATGCCTGTGCCCACACTGGGCTTTGGGTCGCCTCAATTTTTTCAACAACCCAATACTAAAAAAAACAAGTGGGCCAATTATTTGGCCTAAACTGTATGAACTATGCTACTTGTACAATGAATTTAACAATAAGTTTGACAATGTGTGAGTTGGCAGGCATTATGTTCATTGATTTGAAAG